TAAACCCTAAACCCTAAAGCCTCAAGAAGCCCCTCAAGAAGGGACCTGGGGGTTTCATTTAGGGTTTAGGGGTTTAGGGTTAACCAGCTGAGCTCTCCCTTACAGGGGGATGTCTGAAGAGGTATTGATGATGAGGATCCCAATATCTAGGTTTATATTAGGGCATTGAGCTTTGGAGCTGTTTCTATGGGTGGTTTCTCAGAGGTTCCTTTGACAAGCGCATCCCAGTGCTTAGGACGAGGTGCGCAAGTCGCAAGAAAACTCTGAAACTCGGCCAACCCTCATCATTGTGGTGGACGCAGCTTTTTTCGTGCGCTTTGCACAGAAGACGGGACCGATACGCAAGGCCCACGCAAGGAGGAGAGAGCACATGTGTCTTTGTTGGCATATGTATGTGACCTAAGCTGGGGGGGGTCGATGAATCTCTTCTTGTAGCCCAGCGCAGTTATTGCTAAGCTGCACCTGCTCAGCAGAAAGAGCCTGACCGCGCTCCTTCACCACAAACCCGAATGAAGCCACGGAGACCGCACTTGGATTCCTGGAGTATTTATCCCCTAGGTGTTTGAGTGTCCTGTAGTTAATGTGGGAGAAGATGCTTGTGCCTGTGCGACTCATCCTTTCGAGGGCTCTTCCGTTGAGCTATGTTGAGCCTCTTGTGTGAAAAAGGTCGGGAGGAAATTGGGGGAAGAGGAAGACACAGCAAGAGTTCAGTGGCGTTGGCAGAGACAGAATGCACACTATGCCATTTGACTACAAAAGTCGTCAGGACCAGATCCGAGCGGTGCAGAAGGCAGGCATTGACGTTTACGAGAAATCGCTGTCACAGTTGCAAGGCAGGACCTAGTGAAGCCAGGTCACCGAGTAGCACCTTATGTAGCTGAGAGTGCTGCTGACGTTTAGATGGGAAAGAGTTTCCAGCCGGGTTCTTTGTTGGAGCTTTCGGCTTCGGGATTACATATCTAGGAAGCATGGGCAGGCGCCCCGCAACACCCAACAGGCATTCCAAACAGGCTGCATTTGCGCTGTTGCTTCTGGCAGGTGGCATGGCGCAGTGCTTGGCAGCACTGGCAGTTTCGTCCTTTGGCAGTCCGGATGATGCGGAACAGACGGACGAACGAAGGAGACTGCGCGGGCAGATTCCAGAATGAGCTTCCGTTGGACCGAAGCCAGTTGCCTGTTCGGCCGCCGGCGAGGACAATGTGCCAGAAGGCACCAGCATGATTCAGCTGCGCAGGTCTGTGATTGTCTGGGCGGTTCGTGTGGTTTAGTCGGCCACAAGTTTGCGAATGTACTTTGTGACTTCCGTTTGTTGGCATAACCCATTGCTGGGCCAGCTGGGCTAGGATAATCATTCTGCGTCGCGTTTGTCAACCATGCAGTCCGTCTGAATACTAGCGCATCTTTGCATTGCCTGTTGCGGTTGCGATGGGCCACGGGCTGTGGGTCTGGTGCGCTCCGTGTCGCAGGCTGCACGTCTGGGGCGGCGCGAGCGCCGAACACCCTGCGGTCATTGCCCACCTCACCGGCCGCGAAACAAGGCAGATGTATTACTCCGCGAGCTCGCTTGTTGACAGCTGCGCTCAGACTTACAGGCGGGTGTGTCTTCTGTTGACTCCGGAGCTTCGTAAGCGTTGCTGCTTTTGAACTGTTTGTTTTAGTCGTTCCAATTGCGCTCGCGCGGCCGTCTGCCAGGTCTTGCTGCATTGCAGAACAGTGGAGGAGGTTCTCTCGTGCTTGCCCCTTCTGCTGACACCGTCCGACTTCATCCCCCTGCCGGCGGAGGTCATTCAAATGTAGCGCCAAAGATTGCTGCAACAAGGCACCGTTACAAATGGAAGGCTTCGCGTGCGCTCAGGTGTGTGCAGAAGTTTGAGTGGCCCCCGACATATACAGCGTCAGTGGCTGCAGGGTCGTTCCTATGCAATGCTGACTGAAAGAGGGATGGGGAGCAAACATATCCTAAACCTTAAGCCCAAAACCTGTAAACCCCAAACCCTAGAGACCCTAAACCCTAAACCCCCAAGCTCTAGACCCTGAACCTTAAACTCGAACTGGGATTGAGAAGATTTCGAGCTCGAGTGGATTAGGGCTGTTCAGGTTTTCGGAGTTCCGGAGGTTTGGATCCGAGGAAAAGGGAGTTTGGGCTCGAGGGGTGCTTGAGGTTTAAAAGTTTAAGGGTTTAGAGTTGAGGGTATTTTGGGTTCTGGATTTGGGATGTAGGGCTTAGGATCTGGGGATTTTGGGTTCAGGATTTACGGTTTGGGATTTAGAGTTGTGTGCTGTCGAGCATGTAGCGAAGGTTGTGTGTTTTGAAGGTTTGGGGTCTCAAAGATTGACAATCGAGTTCGATTCTTAATGTTAAGATCTAAATCCCGAGCTCCAATCCCAAATCCCGAACCGTAAATTCTAAACGGCCCTAAACCCCCATCCTCCAAGCTTAAACCCAAACCCCTAAAGCCAAACCCATAAACCCTAAACCCTGAACCCTAAAACCCTAAAGCCCTCAACCCTAAACCATAGACCCCCAACGCCCCTGAACCCTCAACCCCGGCAGCCCTACACCCTAAAGCCCCAAGCTTCGAGGGAGCCCCAGAGCTCCTGAGCCCGGGACTCCGAGGACTCACCCAGGGCCTGGCCAGCTGCCTTCCATTTTGGCCAAGATGCAGAAGATGCCGCTCTTAGGGTTTAGGGTTCAGGGTGTTGGGTGTTGGGTGTTTGGTCTCGGGTTTTGGGAAGATGCGGTTCTTTTGCAGGGTTTCGGAGTTAGGGTGTAGGGCTTTAGGGTTTAGGGTTTAAAGTTTAGGTTTTCGAGGGTTGCTATCAAGCTTGATGGGGTTTTGTAAGGGGGTCTTTGTTTTGGTAGTTCTGGGCTTCTGTCAGGGTTCTAGGGGTTTAACGGAGTTGCGAAGGTCTGATATTTAAGTGTTCGAAGGGTTGTGTCAGAGTTTCATTCGGTTACAGTTATGCATATACTTATATAGATATGACTACACAGGGCCTTATGCGATTTTATAGGGGAACTCCCGTGGTCACCGGGTGGGCATCGGGTCGCCGGAGTCTCGAGTCTACCGTCTGAGGTTGCCTCAGTGTTGACATTCCAAGGTTTTTAATGGTTTTCAGCGGTTTGCCGTGGACGGGCTTGTACATTTTGCAAAGTGGAGCCCCCGCACTGCAAACTGCGAGCCTAAACTTCCAAGCCCCGCATTCCGGACCTTAAAGCTCTAACAGCCCTTAAAGATCCCTAAACTTGAAGACCTTGTTCTAGAGCTCCTACGAAGTCCTCATAAAGCCCTCAAGCCCAAAGTACAAAGACTTTGAGCTTAAACAGCACAAATCCCAAACCTTGAGCCTTCAACAAGACCTAAAACCTAAACCCTAAACCCTGAACCCTAAACCCTAAACCCTGAACCCTAAACACCTAAATCCTCATAAGAGACCCGACTGCGCGAAGTTCCAAGGCTTTGGGACTGGTTGGAGCCTTCAGAGCAGCAAAAGTCCGCGAGCATTCGCGGCTTTGCGGCGCGACCTCTGGACTCTCCGGGGGCGGGGAGCGAGGGTTTAGGGTTGGGTTTAGGGTTTAGGGTTAGGGTTTAGGGGTTCAGGGACATACGGTTGAGGATATAAGCCCTGCATTACCCATAATAAGGAATATGCCATAAATCCCATAGTTTAGGGTCCTTAAGGTAATGCAGCATCTATATCATCAACAGCAGGTCAGTAGGAGTTTCGGGGGGTTCAGGTGCTATGACCGGGTGGCGAAGTCTCGGCCTCCCTGTGGAGCTTAAGACAAATAGGGACCTGACATGGGTGGTTGTCAAAATTATGGTCCCATTTTGGGTCCTTATTATAATACGGCACCTATTATTTAGGGTAGCCAAAAAGGGACCCTAATTTTGACAACTACCCACATGGGCTTCAGGGCAAGCCACACCGTAGTCCCGTATAGGCAGCTCTAAACCCTCAGTTGCCCTAAACCCTAAACCCTAAACTGCCCTAAAGCCTTAAAAACTTTTGAACCCTAGCCCTGAAATCCCATGCTAGCCCCTACAGTAGCCGTTATTAAGGGCTCCGAGTCTGGCCCCAAGCCTTAACGCTTGCGCGGTGAGTCGAGAGTTGGTGACTTCGGTTCAGTTTTTTTTGATTTGGGCGTTCAGGGGTTTTAGGAGGCTCTTTGCTTTGAAGCGTTTCGGTTCAATTTAGGAGTTGTTGGTTGAAAGCCTTTCGGTTTCGTTTAGGGTTAGGTTAAGGCGGTTTTAAGGCGGTTTTACGGGGTTTAGGGTTCCGGGTTTCGCAAATCTCTCGAGCCGGAGAGTCTTGGGTACACGCCGAAGAGGCCAAACCCTGAATCCTAAGTCCTCGACCCCTTAAACCCTACAAGAGGGTTTAGGGTTTAGGGGTTCCCCCTAAGCCCTACACCCTACATCCCAGACCCCAACCTCTAAACCCCAACTCCTAAATTCTAAATCCCAGACCTTAAGCCCGAAGGCAGCACCCTGGCCTGAACCAATGGAGCCCCAGAAGCCTGCAGTTCCGCCCCTCAGGTGCTCTACTTACAGGCTCATGGGATGTAGCAAGGAAGGTTTAGGGTTTAGGGTGACAAGGCTCATGGGACTTCGGAGGGAAGGTTTGGGGTTTAGGGTTTAGGGTTTAGGGTTTAGGGTTTGAGGTTAGGTGAGAACTCGGATAGCCCTGAAGTAGTAATCGGGCACTTTATGGCCCGACTTATAAGGTTATATGATTAGATGTAAGGTTATAATTTGGATAACCCCATTCAGGGGCACTTTAAACCCAGTTAGAACCCTACTTACTTGTCCCCAAAGCCCCAAGAGTACCCCCATAAAATCCATTAGAAGCCCTAAGAAGCGACCAGACCCAACGGTGCCCTTTAGAACGCATCTACTCTGAATACCCTTTGCAACCCCCAAAACGAAACACCCAAAAGCACCAGAACAACATCCTAAACCCTAAACCCTAAACCCTAAACCCTAAACCCTAAAACCTAAACCCTAAACCCTTAACCACAAACCCCAAACCCTAAACCCTAAACCCATCCTTGGAGGACCTGCCCTGCCTTCTGGCCGTCTGTCCCTGCGCCCGCGTGGTAGTGAGCAAGGATCCTGGTGGCCGCTGGAAGGCGATTCCTTTTCTAGACACCTTTAAAGGGTTCAGGGTTTAGGGTTTAGGGTTTAGGGTTTAGGGTTTAGGGTTTAGGGCCTTCAAAATGGGCGCAGAGAGCACAACATCCCTTAATTGTAAGGAAGATAGCTTAAATGATAGGGGCCTTCATCTTTCGGGTTTAGGGTGTATTCCTGACTTGAGGGGTATTGGGCCCTCTGGGTACATCTAGATCCCTTATGAATCCTTCCAGACTCCTTAGAAAACAGCTGTAGGCCCCTTAGGATTTCCCTAACCAAAAAGTTCAGGAGGGTCTCTATCAGGCTTGTGCAAGGTTTTGTTTCGAAAGAGACGTGGAAGAGGGGTGCTTGCAAGGGATCTTGTCTCAAAAGCATTCAAGAGAGCTTTGTAAGGGTTAGTGCCAAAAGGAGTGCATGATTTGACTGGGTTAGGAGGGTTTAGGGTTCGCGGGGGGCCTAAACCCTAAACCCTATAGACCCGAAGCCCTAAACCCTAAACCTGGGTTCCCATCGTCTGAGACGCTTCCACGCTTTCTACTAGGCCCTAAACCCTAAACCCCAAACCCTCAACACAAGCCCTATATCACGTAAACCCCAAAACCTTAAATCCTACACCCCAAACCCTAAACCCTATAAACCGTAAATTTGGAAGCCCTCCGTCTTCCGAAAGCGCGGCCACGGGGCTGATGTCTCTGTACGAGCATTGATTCCCCCCAAACCACCGCATTCCCCAGAAGGTGTTTTAGAGCTTCCCCCATATGCCGCGGTGGCAAAAAAGGACTTAAGTTGATTGATAGTTTAGGGTTTAGGGTTTAGGGTTTAGGGTTTAAGGTTCAGGGTTTAGGGTTTCGTGTGGAGAGCTGCCCGTGAGATTTTTTCCTCCACCTACAGATGCGCCGCGCTTTGGCAAGCCAGAGAACCTCCTCGTACCCCAGATGCGAAACTGTCGACCCGAATCCCAAGCCATTCCTCAACACCCAAAGCCGAAATCCCAGACTTTAAATATTACTATTATTAGTATTATTAGTATTATCACTATTACTATTATTATTATTATTACTATTATTGTTACTATTATTAGTCGTATTATTCTTGTTATTACATATTAATTATTCCTTAAACCCTATACAAAACCCTAAATCCCACGCCCGAAGTCCCAAGACCGACACCCTTGGCATCCTCAAGTACTACACCCTACGCCGCGCACCCCCGGCCCCCGACGAGGGCAGCAAGCAGTGGATCCTGAACAACTTGAGAGCGTGGCAGATCCCCGTCCTGGATGTGACCCGCAAGAGGGATAGGCCTCTTCAGGGTTTGGGGATGTTTGGGGTTTGGGGCTGAGGGTTTAGGGTCTGGGGTCTGGGGTTTGGGGTTTAAGGTTCCGGCTTTGGGGTTTGGGGCTGACGGAGTGAGGGTTTCGGTGGAGGCTCTGCTGGCGTCAGGGTTTGAAGAGGACCCGCAGTAATCCACAGACTCCGCAGTTAGACTTGGGTGCTGGTCGTATCGATGCTTGTGAGTATCCGGCGGGTTGAGAGCGTAGAAGTCCTTCAATCCCGCATCCCCAGATCGGCTGAAGGCTTCCGAGTGCTGTTTGGAGGTTTTGTAAACTGTTTTGCGGAGACTCTTTAGGGTTTCGTGAGACCTTTAAGCAAGCCGGCAATGCAAGGGTCTTGTGTTGGATTCCGACGACAATTTGAGGAATATTCCCTGATAAAAGGACAAAAAGAGCCGCTGGGAAGCAGCTTCGGTTCAGGGTTTGGGTTTAAGACATTTGGCCTTAGCCTATGAGGTTCAGGTCTGGTTGTGAATCGTGAGCTTAGGGTTTAGGGTTTAGGCTTTAGGCTTTAAAGAAGGCAGCAGGTGTGGCTTCCACTCAGCAAGAACGCCAAAGTACTAGGCGTGCGTCATGAATGAGTTGGTGTGGTTTTCTCATACCTGCATTTCTCCGGATAGAAGCAGAAGGAGCCCGATTGGATGTGTACGTGTACACATACATGGTTACAGGTATATCTATATATATATATATCTCTCTCTCTCTCTCTCTCTCTGTATACAGGTATATGTATATGTATATATATATATATACATCAGGCGAAAGAATAACCCAAATGTCCCAAGTCCTCTGCAGTGAGTCGGGAATGCACTCTTGGCTTCTTCGCCGGCAGTTGGACCTATGGGTATAGTAGGTACCTCAGATAGGTCCTCCACCCTAAACTCCACTCAGGGTTCCGGCTAGTAGTTGTAAGTATAGTTTACCCTACACCCTAAGCCCAAATGCCTAAAGCCGCTAAACGTGCGCCCTTTAACCCTGCCCTAAGCCCTCAGCGCTTTGACGCTGAAGCTTAGGCATGCCCTTTGGCCTGTGGATTCGGGTTTAGCCTTCAGGGCTAGGGGTTTAGGGTTTTAGGTTTAGGGTTTTGGGTTTAGGGTTATAGGGTTTAGGGTTTAGGGTTTAGGGTGGACAGTTCTGCAGAACCTTGACATCTCTGTGCACGGATGCTTTACCCCAAACTTGGAACCCGCAGCGCCAAACCCTACAAAATCTGGATAGAAGCACCCTCATAGAAACCCACAGAAGCCCTCATAGAAACTTGCCTAAACCCTAAACCCTAAACCCTAAACCCTAAACCCTAAACCCCAAACCCTAACACCAAACCCTCAAGCCGTAGAGCCCCTTTAAGCAATCCTCAGAGAAGCTCCTATCGAGCCAGGCTCCCTGAGTTCCTGAGCCCGGGCAAGTCCTGACAAGGGCCCCAAGGTGCCTCCCTTCGAA